CTCGTCTCCAAGCTGATCAGTTTGGAAACTGCAGCCCGCTAATACAAACTGCAATTATTCTAGGCTACATACGAAAAAATAATAATAATAATAATAATTGTTCCACAGGCCACACATTGCTCGGCCAAAAAAACAGCGTGGTTGCTAAGCGACCAGCTATGCTCCGCCATGGATTCTCGGTTGAATTTTAAGTTGCGCTTCAGATAAACTGTACTGCGGTCACAGGTGCGCTGTTTATCTGGAATCTGTTGTTTTTTCACCAGCTTCGATCGCCTCTCCTCCAATCAGGGCGAAGAGCTGCTCCCTCGCGGCTCCCCCCCGCCCATGCGCAGCTCTAATTGGCTGATGCGCAAATCAATTTCCCTGAGCCGCTACTCTCCCTGAATAAATACTTGTTGGAAATCTGCCCTCCCACCGCTATCTATGTAATGCTCGAGTGATCACACACAGGGAGCGCGTTAAAAGCTGGGAGACTTGGAGGGAACAGGCAGATGCTGATGCAGGTTTAAAGGCAGCAAAACACAACAAACGCCAAACTGACATCATGAGTATGAACTACGCGTCTGCGGCGCCCACACAGAGGTCGACGTCGTTTTTCATTGAGGACATCTTATTGCACAAACCCAAGCCGCTGAGAGAGGTCATTCCCTCGCCGTTCTGTAGCTCCCTGGCCTCCCGAATGCCCATCCTGGAATATGGATATCCCTTGATGCCAACTCCAATTCTGGCGCCACATCCGCACCATCCTCTCCACAAGCCCGAGCATCACCAGTACTTCTTCACATCTGGTAAGCCGGGACAGCTGGGAGGCAGAGGCCTGGAGCAACTTCTGTCACACACACACACACACACACACACACACACACAGGCTGGCAAGAGTGGAGAAAAGTAGCCTGTAGCTGCAAGAAAATAACACAAGTCTTTGCTGTTTGAATTGTAAAGCTAGTGTGAATAGTCATTTGTGGATTTATGCAACTCTGTGTGACTTTAACGAGTGTGACAGTAGTTCGGCCTCCACAGCGCACAGCGTGCAGGGAGGAGGACGTGTTACTGAGCAGCTCATTCAATTATCCTGTTTGTTTCTGGCACATTTACTAAGACATCTTTAATTTATTTTTTTTTATTTTAAATGACAGTTTTTATCTTAAATTATGTCCAAAATTTTAAATCATTATTATTGCTCTGATTTGTGCGTAAAAGCGCAGTAAGGCTCCAGTTTGTTTTTTTTTTGTTTTGATCATCATAATTCCATTTGACACCTTCAGCATGTCCACACTTTCTTTGCTGCTTTATCAAGAGATGTCATTTTTAAATCCCCTGCAGGGATGCAGATGCCGGCCTTGTTCCAGCACCACGCAGAGCTACCGGGCAAGCACTGCAGGCGCAGGAAGGCCCGGACGGTCTTCTCCGACTCGCAGCTGTCCGGCCTGGAGAAGCGCTTTGAAATCCAGCGGTACCTGTCCACCCCGGAGAGAGTGGAGCTGGCCACGGCGCTCAGCCTGTCCGAGACCCAGGTACAGCAGCCTCGTCCAGGGCCAAGAGCTTTTCCAACACTGGTGTCTTTGTTTATTCGTTCCTGCTGCAAGTAAACCAGAAAAGTTAGAAAATAATTTATCATCAGAGAATTATACAGGCAGCATGAAGATAGAGCATGGTGTTATTGTGGATCAGCTGGTGACTGCTGTGTATGTGGAGGTCAGCCATAATAATAAATACATGAAATAAAGGTTGTTTCAGCTCTAAATATAAATGTAATAATTCATAGAATTTATTGTCCATCGGAATTCGTTATGTGCCATTTAGTCTTAAATAAGAAAATCAAGAATAATAATAATAATAATAATAATAATAATAATAATAATAATAATACAGCCGGGTTGGTACCTTGTTGCGCTTTTCTAACCCCGTCCTCCTCCTCCTCTGACAGGTGAAGACGTGGTTCCAGAACCGGCGGATGAAGCACAAGAAGCAGCTGAGGAAGGCGCAGGACGAGCGGAAGACTCCCGGAGAGCTGGAGCGATCGGCCGAGAACTCCAGCGAGAGCGACCTGAACGAGAAGCGAGGCGAGGAGCTGAAGCACTGCCTGGAGCCGGACTCGTATCTGCTGGACGAGAACGACGACGATGTGGATATCGAAGATGACATTTGCTCCCCGGACCACCTGCTATAGTCGGCTCCCCTGTACATGTACCGTGTGGGCAGAGCGCACACACTGACTCTGCTCCTCCTTCCATTACAAACCTGTAAGTTACTGTTTGACATTAACGGGGAAACAGGCGACACGATGCGATGTTCATATTTATTCAAACATGCAAAAATGGGCAAATTCATTGTTTACAACCGCCGTTTTTCCTCGTGTATAGCCTATAAATATATATGTATATATATATATTTATATATATAAAATTTTCTTGTTATGTTTGACAAACCCAAATCTACCACATTGTTATTATTATTATTATTATTATGATTATTATTATTATTATTTAGGCCAATGTCTAGAATCTCTAGTAATATGGCTATGCTCTAACATTACTGTTTTTATTTTTTATTACACCGGTGTCTTTTTTTAAAAATTGTACAAACGACTATAAATAAGCCTGTCCAATAGCTCTTTGCTTTGTACCAAACGCAGGCATCGTGCTACCATATTTTGCACTTTTAATCCCATGCTACTCTTTTTTATCGTCATCCTTTTTTCCCTCCCCTGATGTGTATACTTTTGATATGTTATTTGCAGTTTGTCCATATTGTTGGAGGTTTTGTAAATCAAGTTTTGATCGAAGACACTGAGCTCCAGTGGCTGACATTTCTATTTATGTCTGTAAATATATACATACATGCAGTGCTTAACCAATCGGCTCCGTTTGTTCTCTTCTATATTTTATTTCCCTACCTGAAGCTAAGTTTTACATTTTACTACCATCCGCCGGAATGAGTTTTTTTTTCTTTTTAAAGCCTTAAAAAAACAATCATGTGAGTCCAGCGGTGCGGCGCTATTGTTGGGCTGTGATCCTGTTATCACGCTCACATGTTTAACTGAGTCCAGCAGCTGCTGCAACCAGTTGCGTCCCAGCATGGAGCTGGAGCCCGCCAGCACGACCAGCAGCAGCGCTGATGTTTCCTCTGGAAGCATCCTGAAGCACATTTGGTGATTAATTTTACTGTCACCGTGTTTGCAGCTAAATGATCGTCAGTTAAGAATGAAATCCACCAAAAAAAGCTGCAGCTTGTTTCAGCAAATTCAGTTCAATAATCGCCAATAAAAAGGCAGAGATTAGTGCTCCTCTAGGCTTCTGAGCAAAAAAAAAAAGAAAAAGAAAGAAAGAATATTGGTGAAATCCGATTTTTTTTTTTTTTAAACTAAGATATCTACATCTTTGCGTCAGCGCATTGCTAAGATTAGTCAGATGTGTGGCACTTAAATATAATATGAAGTAAAATAACATCCTGGACCAAGAGGCGATCAGACAGCGTTCTGCCACAGTGACAAAGAATTGATGCTCTTTGATGTTCTCAAGAAAATCAATGAGGACAGTCAGCAGAATCAGATCGAACATGTTCTGGCCCCACACACACACACACACACACATATATAATTGTTTTTAAATAAAATGAATGGACATGTGATTGTAGTGAACAGCTACTGCTCTGCTTACATGGCAGTGCTGTGTTTAAATTGTTTCATAAACATTTGGTCCTGCAGGCAAGTGGCAGCTCCATCATCCACAAATGGTGAGTCCCAATGCTCAGCACCACTGCTACAAACTTCATATGCACACATTTTTTTGAGCAAAATTATGTAATTACTTTTGGCCAGACAATATAATATGCACAAAATCAAATAAATCCAAAATGTTGTTAAAAATCAAGACCCATCAAGCATTTAACATATTTTTTGTGCAAATATAAATCTTTACTTTGGTGCAAATGTATCACCATGGGGGAAAAAAAAAAGTTTTAGTTCTTTTAATTTTTATTTTTCAAATCCGCTGAAGTCCAAATTGAATTTTGTAGATATTATTGTATTAGTTGCAGAGCAAACAGTTCATTTTTGTTTGGTTAAGAAGCAACTTTTTGCTTAAAGGAAAGACTGTGACAAAGCAAGAACATTTTCAAAAACAAGACTAAACTTTGCTTTTTGAATATATTTTTTTGTATTTTATTTTCCACTAACATTGAACATGAAAGACATTTGGCTCACCCTGTTTGGGAAATACAGCAGGTTGTCATGTGAAGCTGGGATTTACCACAGCAGGGTAATGTTGTCTGCATCCCAATCAATATGAGGAAAGATGCAAAAAACAAAAGGGTTGTTTGATTAATTTACTAATGAAGATATTCCATTCATTGATCTTTAAAAAAATCTTGATCAACAGATGTTCAGCAGAAACATTAAATCCACTTGTGCTCCCCCTAGTCAATAGAATTAAGGTCTATAGGACTCCAAATAAATTAATAAACACGTTTCTTCCTAATAAACTATTTACTGTTTAATTACTACTGTAATAAAAAAAGAGGGTGGAATAACCCTCCAACACTTTCACTGGATCTCCTGCCACACACAGACATGTCAAGATATTAAAACAGCTCTTATTAAATTGTTTTTATCAAACACTTCATCTGATCTCATCACTGACAATTTGCACAATAGCCAGCAAATCCTCTCTTGTCCTTCATGCTGGATTTACCGTCTTTTTGAAAAGCAATTCGCGTCATCCTCAAAACGTGATTCTGATTAACAAGCAGCAGGGAGAAAAACCTATGTGGAGAATAGGCCATGCAGAAGGTGATCAATTAAAAGATTAAGCGTTTTGCAACACATAAACGCATCTGCATTTGGGCCTAATAGCAGGGCCATCAGCTCATTTTCAGGAAGCCTGCCGCCTACTGAAAGCGTGCTTCTCACATCAAAGCATCCACGTCTGCCTTAGCTTCCCAATGGGCAGAAAGGGATGCTAATTTGGCCCCCTTCATGTATAGCGGTGAAAGACTCCTTCAATTAACTGGATTTCAATAGCGAAAAACGAGTAGGTGGGACCAAAAAAAAAAAAAAAAAAAAAAAGATGCAAAGAGCCTCAGTCTGGATAGGCAGTGATTCTCATTAAATTAAAAAGGGCTCGGCCATTTGTTTCCAACCACGCATCTGAGGACTTAACACTAAAAACACAGAGCTTCAAAGAGTCCATGATGGGTTAAATAGAGACTATAATCTAATTAAAATATTGCACAGAGGTAAATAGTGCTTTGATAATGATCTGAGAGTTCAATTAGTAAAATGAGCTGCTTGAGAGTGTTGTGTGTCGGGGTGGAGTTACTACTTAGAATATGGCTACAAACCGCAGGACCGGATCAGCTGAGCTTCAAAGTGTCATCCGTCATCTAAGCAGAATTTTCTAGAATCTAAACTGGAGAAATTAAGAAAGCAGCAGAGCCACGACGAAGAGTGTGCAGACGGTTCCAGTGTGTTGTTTTATTGGTATTTTAGACACTCTTGTTCCTGATACCTGTGGTTGAATTGTTTAATGTGGCTGACAACATGGGAGTCGCCTGTCCCTTCTACAAAAACACTGTAACATGAGATTACAACTGGCAGTATTTGTATCCATGTCTTTCATATGATTTTTTCCCCGTCGGTGCTGAACTGATTTCTACCATCAGACAATATGTTAAGCATCAGGCAATAGCTTTACTTATTAGTGTTACCGTGTTGCTTCGACTGTCAGCAAGTCTGAGCAAACTCTATTATATCTATTTACACTGTAATCATTAATGACACTAACATTGCAACACAGAGAAGGAGAAGTGGGGATGCTGGCACCAAAGTGAATGAAACTACACTTCCTTTAATGGTCCATCCATAGTTGCTGGTTATAAAAAATAATGTGACATGATGAAAGCTATTCAGAAATTGCACATTTCTTGTTTAAAGTTCACTTCAAGTGTCTTCTACTTACTCTAGATTTAGTTCCAATTAGCATTCCACTAAAATCTGAATTTAGGCAAACAACAATCCAAAATCCAGACTTTGTGTGAGTCTGTTGGTTACACTTCTTTGGCATCTATGTTTGAAACAATTATTGATATGATGCTTATTTTTTTATATTGGTGTGATCCATTCCAGAAAACATCTTTACCCTACTAACGGTTTCAGCCTGTCTCTTTTCACCATCTATCATAACCAGGAGGTTTGAAGCCTTTATATGTTTGTGCTGAGAGAACAGCACCCTCTACCTTTGCAGTAAAGCAATTAAGTGAATTTTTGATGACACAAAGTAACACAGAGGCAGGTGATCTCCTCAGAGCTTATTTTTATCCATCTTACCATCATTATTTTTGAAAAATGCCAAAAAAAATGTATGTAGTAAGATGTTGTGTCCTGTACCTAGGAGTGTAATTACCAATCAGAGTCCGGACTACATGAACTGCACCTTCCTTCAGACACCGTGTTGTTTAGTAAAGAGTGCCACAGCCTGCTTTTCTTCCTCATGCCGTTTCCTAAGGAGTTCCAGCATGGCCAGCTGGGACACATCCAACAAGCCCTCCGTGTAAGGAGCATGCTCAGCGATGCCTTCAGGCTGTTTTCTCTGTTTCAGCTTTGGTTGAGACTGGACGGGGGGTTTAGCTATGGTCTTTACATATTCCAAGGCCTAGGATGGAGAGAGAGAGA